TTAAGACTTTCCCTGCATTATGATTAACATCTACAGTCACAGTCAGCAGTAACAGCCTGGTTGATCAGGCTCTGATCCACCGAGAGGCCTGGTCATGGACCGGGCAGCGGGGGATTTGATCCCTGGAATACCCTCCAGGTAGGTAAGGATCTCCAAACTTTCCACTACGGCCGCCACATATATTTTTTTACGGGCTAAAGGAATAAAACGAGTCACATATAAAATTTAAATGAACAGACAAAATAATGTTTCATTAGTTTTACTACTAATAAATATTTGAAGTTCCTGCAGGACGTAGTTTGGAGACCCATATGTAAATGATGAACAACGGTGGGCCTAAAACTGATCCTTGTGGGACGCCACTGGTAACTGGGCCCCACTTAGATTTCACTCGCTTTAAGCAGACCTTTGCTTCCTCTTGACCAGCCACGCCTCCATCCACGACATACCGTATTTTGCGGCTTATAAGACGCAGCTTATAAGACTTGTCTTAAGATTCAATGGCTCAGCATCGGACGTAACTGGGAGAGCTACAGAACCCCCCACCCCCACCCCAAACTTGTAGCTCCCGTCACTGACCTTCAGTTTATAGGGCGCAGGCTGGTTTTGGGAGACATTTAATGGAAAAAATGCGTCTAATAAGCCACAAAATACGGTAACTTTCCCCCCCCCCAATACCATGAGCTGTAACCTTCAAGTATTTTGTGTGATGCTATCAAAATATTTACAGAAATCTAAAAATATAAATCACGGAACGGGTAAGTGGTTAACGCACTGGCCTGATTAAGGACACTTGCCATGGGTTCAAACTCCCGTATTATTACGATTTAAGAACAAAGGAGGAATACTGCAGCAGGCCTACTGGCCCATACAAGGCAAATCCTTCTCAAAAACCATTCGTGGCTCACCGCTTTAAGACTTGACTAAAAATAACCGGCAAATTGTCGGGCAGGAACGACCCTTGTGAATCAGTATTCACACGAATCAGATTACATCAATTATATTTTTACCAGCTGTATATGACTAATTTGCCTACTAAGGTCAGGATTAGGCGGCAATTTGATGGCTCGACTTTTACTCTGGTTTTAGAGAAATTACTCATATCTTCCCCGTCTACGATATTATACCTGTTTGAAGCAAGATGCGCATACGAAAAAAAGGTCAGTGGTCCACTACCTGTCCCACACACGGAAAGGGCAGAAGACGGGAACGAGGGAAGGAGATAAGGAAAAAGGACATAAAGAAGGGAGTAAATAAGGAAGAAGCTATGGGGGGGAGGGCGTGAGAGGAAAGGAAGTGTGGAGAAAATGGAGAGGCAGGCTAGAAGGAAGCAAGGGAAAAGCAAGCAAGGGAAAAGCAAGGGAAAAGCAAACGAGGGAAAAGCAAGGGAAAAGCAAGCAAGGGAAAAGCAAGGGAAAAGCAAACGAGGGAAAAGCAAGGGAAAAGCAAACGAGGGAAAAGCAAGCAAGGGAAAAGCAAACGAGGGAAAAGCAAGGGAAAAGCAAACGAGGGAAAAGCAACAAACAGAAGGTAAACAGAGCCTGTGCTGGTCTCCCAGCCAACAGAGGTAAGCGAACACTGACGTCACAACAGTAATTCCCAGCCTGACTGTACACAAACTATGCCGAAGGTAGATCAATACCAGCAAACCAGGGACTGGGAGAGAGGTAAAGCCAATACACGGAGAAAGAGAAAGAGAGAGAGAGAGAGAGAGAGAGAGAGAGAAGAGAGAGAGAGAGAGAGAGAGAGAGAAACAAAGGGGAACTACCAAAGAGAATTTTAAAGACGATGTATCTGGAGGAAACTCGATAAAGATGCGGGCAGATGTTACTATAACCCGGGTCACTGTAGACAAATGGTTCCGAGAACCGACAAGTTGATAAATTAGACACGTACAGGATTTTGGCATCTTCATTGAGATGCCCGAGTGTCTTACTTGTGTCTAATTCACCCCCCCCTAATGAATCCAGAGTTAGATTAATGAAATACGAAGCACTTTAAGTGGGCTAGTAACCCGTTTAACAGCTAGGAAAGTATTCCCGAGCCTTTTCGATTGCTTATCAGTCTTAAGTCTTTAGCTGAAGACTGCTAAACAGCTGTAATTTTCCAGGCTTAGTCTTAATCTGAAGAAACCCGCTAAACAGCCGAAATATCGGAGAATAAACACACCAGATTGATGTACGTGTTACTGTTCAAAAGATTTTTTTTCAACCTCACGAAGGGGAGCGGAAGACATCGGTCAGATGACCCAAAACAGGTCTAGCACATGACAGACCCACCTTTGTGTTTTGGTAATACAATTTATGGACCTCGCCAGGTCCTCTTGCATTACGAAGACATGGGCGACGCATAACCAAGACATGGGCGACGCATAACGAAGACATGGGCGACGCATAACGAAGACATGGGCGACGCATAATGAAGACATGGGCGATGCATAACGAAGACATGGGCGACCCATAACGAAGACATGGGCGACCCATAACGAAGACATGGGCGACGCATAACGAAGACATGGGCGACCCATAACGAAGACATGGGCGACGCATAACGAAGACATGGGCGACGCATAACGAAGACATGGGCGACTCGTCGCGCATGCATCTGTCGACAAAGTTAAGTTCCAACTATGGTGCTAAAAAACTGTCTTCACTAGGGCAAGAAGCACAATTATGGCTACGGATTTAGCTGTACAAGTTTCGTACATTGTGAATTGATGCGTCTGATGTGCGAAACGTCTTCAGAAAGCCGTTACCAGCATTGCATCTTTACAATCTGCCGATACATATCTTCGTGGAGTTCAGAGTTGTTCTGCTCCCGGAGCCCGGCCATGTGCCAGGCTCGTCTGATTTTTACCTGTCAACCAGGTTGCTGTTGCTGGTGGCCCGCTGCCCCACATATCCATCACAGCCTGGTTGATCTGGCAACATTCCCATACCTTCAACTTCAGTCTATCTTCACGAAGTGCTGAAAGACAGTAGCACATCTCTCAATTCTTTGGTCCAAGAGCTTGATAAGAACACTTTACGACCAGGCCTAATAATATTCCAAAATTTCATGAATAAGCGATAAATCCGTAGGGGCCACTGTGCCACCTTGGGATTGGGGAGTAATCAGATTTGATCATAAGAGATTTCAACAGCATCAAAAGATTCGGACAATCTCTGAAAGATTACGTACCTCGACAAGAACATGGCAGTAAGATTCGATATGTCAAAAGGGGCAAGTAGCATTGTGTCATGGTTGGGGCGTACATTAATTCAATATTTCCACGTTTAAATATCACCCCTCGCTATTCCTGATGGGAGAGGCAGGGAGCCGACAACAGTAGCCTGGTCAGAGGCTACCAACACGAAGGCCTCAACATGGGGAGACTAGGAAAAAATCTCGCTAGGTATGATTATCTGGTATATACCTGGCAGGGTACAGCTCAACTATACCTGGATTGAGGTGTCCTACACACCTGGTAGTGTCCCCACACACCTGACTGACGCTTCCTCCTAAAAGTGTGCACCTACACACCTGGTTATAAAGCTTGCGCAATGTGTGTAGATTATACCCACCGAGCGCTTTATCAACAGTACCTATCAGTGTTGCACACCAACACCACACAACGACAAACACCACACAAACACTAACCTCAAGTTAAACACGCATTACAACTCAAGCACCTCCCATTAACACTCCTTTGAGCAGGATTGCACCCAGTCTGCCTGGTTTATTATTGATAGCACCATTAGTGAAAGGTAGCCGGTGTGACAAGGGTACACAAACAATACGCTTTCCATGGTACTGGCGTACGTTCGTGCGAGAGGCGTAGAGGACACGAATGCTGATTTTACTCACACTGACGCAGTGTTTCAACCGCATGGAGAATGGTGCTGGTGCGTCGCCAAGACGTAAATATGGGTAGTGGATGTGTAATTTTCTGTAGATATCTGTGGGCGATTCCTGGGAAGGAGGAAAGGAATGTCGTAGGACTTGCGGACCAGTACTAACCAGAACTGCTAGTTAATGACCTCTGTCCTAGTTTTTGTCCCCCATTAACTAGTCATACACAAATAATCCACTACTAACGTAGTGGGTTATTTGTGTAATGTTCCAGTCACGATATTGTGTATCAAGTGTGATACAATTAGGAAAATATACGTAATGAACCCATGGACGTATCATACACAGTAACATGTATACATATACACACATACACACTACCTCTATTTTTAATAATACGAACCCAAGTGCTTAGTGGTCATGGGTTATAATGGGGAGGTGAGGGGGTAGAGGAGTGGGGGAGACATTGATATGGGTTGGTGGGGGGAGATATTGATATGGGTTGGTGGGTGGGTAGGGTGTGGATGGGGGAGTTTCTACCTCCCCATCCATTAGAGGAGGTAGTAACCCCACCACACACCCCTACCCCTTTGCTATGAAAGCAGTGTAGGAGTACACACTAAACACAAACACACAACACAACACTAGACTAACCGTTTAAATTAAACTAGTGTCACAGAGAAACTAGTTGTGATGATCATCGCTGTCTGGCCTCAAGGCCATAGGAATGTTAGGAACTATTTATTTAGCATGCGAGTGATGATTAGAATAATTTGACATGGTGGAACGTTTGTACACAGCTTCGTGAGTAGGTATACAATTCAAGAGGTCAAAATAATAGGTATAATGCCGATTATAGTGGTGCAGGAGGCGGGCCCATGAGCTGAGTATCAACTAACCTCTAGGTAGATCAGGGCCTGGTCCTTTGATATGCCTTTGAAGAGTTTCACGAGTCTTACTACTCTCGGAGCCCGGCCATGGGCCAGGTTCGTCTGGTGCTAGCCTACCTGAAGGGTATTCCAGGGATCAACGCCCCCGCGGCCCGGTCAACGACCAGGCCTCGGTGCCAGCCCGGTGCCAGGCCTAGTCTGAGACCGGACCGCGGGGGGGAGGCTGTGACCCCTGGAAAAGGCATCAACAAAATATATTAACGTAAAAACGCAACTTACCTCGTCTATTAGTAAAAAGATCATTGTATCCATCCACCATTGTTTCTATTAGGCTGCCCATCTTGCCTCTCGATCTGAAAAATTCAATAATTTATTTAAATATCAAGAAATTTTGCATTATTTACCCCCCTCCCCCCTTCAAAATACTTATTTCATTAAAACAAATTGTGGAACTTAGATTATTATAGGTAATGATGCGAATATATCCAGTCCAATGACGTCACAGACTTGTAACCAAGATGGTGTAGTCTTCACGGGGAAGCTGGACAAGTGCCAGATCAACCAGGCTGTGATGGATATGTGGGAGAGGTTAGCGAGCTACCAGCAGCAACAGCCTGGTTGACCAGGCTAACACCAGACGAGCCTAGCCCATGGCCGGGCCCCGGGAGTAGACACTCGAAGTCCACAAACACAAATCTGCCGACCTATTTTCGTCCGGATTTCGTACAAATATGAAGAGATGAGCTCGGGCAGAATCCAGAGATTTCGACTCGTGATGCAAAATCATACAAGTACACTTGGAAAACACAGGGGGGGGGCTTAGCCCCCTTGATGGAGAAGTGTCCACACAACTGACACCCAGAATACAGTATTAGAGTTACAGGGGTTTCAGCCTGGTCTAGGGGGGTTGTACACCCCCCCCCGAAATCGACTATCTCAACTCCCCCAATCCACTTTCTCTCCCATCAGGGTGAAGGGAGATTAGGGGGTGGAGGGAGATTAAAGGGGAATGCCTCTTGGCCCCTTGAAAGGCAACCAAGGCAGTTCTCAAAGAAATAAAATCGTATATGCAATAATTCACTTATGAAGGAAACGTTCAGAAGACGTTTCAAGCCTTCCAGGACCATCATCAGCCTTTAATAAATTTGGCACCTTTGACTTATCTAGGATCTCTCCTAAACCCGGTTAGAATAAAAATGTCCCACCTGAAAAGATTAAAAAGACAATACCATGACTGGAACAAAGGTCCGACTTGGACCATTTACAAAGTCACACTAACCCACCTATCAGAACACTGCTCAACCACAGTCAATGGTCACAGTCATCACAAATGAACACACCCATCACTTCACCACAAACCATCGGCTTTATAGCTATCCTGTGTGTCACTACCAACAGCAACTAAACGCCACAAGGAACCCACGTGAAGTAGGAACCCACGTGAAGTAGGAACTTACGTGAAGTAGGAACCCACGTGAAGTAGGAACCCACGTGAAGTAGGAACCCACGTGAAGTAGGAACTTACGTGAAGTAGGAACCCACGTGAAGTAGGAACCCACGTGAAGTAGGAACCCACGTGAAGTAGGAACCCACGAAGTAGGAACCCACGAAGTAGGAACCCACGTGAAGTAGGAACCCACGTGAAGTAGGAACCCACGTGAAGTAGGAACCCACGTGAAGTAGGAACCCACGTGAAGCCTCCCCAGGAGAACGAACAGAGGCTGAGAGGAAGGTATCATTGCCTTTAAAAGATCACTGAACGAGAAAAACACAACCTATGTACCACTAAAACCACACACAGCACACACAAAAACAACCAGAGTTACGAACAAGAACAATGACTAGATAACCAAGCTATCTGAAAGATAAAACGTACACAAAACATTGAAGATTTGGGGTTTTTATGTCGTAGAGAATAGTGGACGCTAACCACTCACGTTACAAGTAGAAATTAACATGTTAACCTATCTTATTTGGGTTAAAATTAGCATCTACACTACTTTGACAGATTATCAAAGCTCCAGCAAATTTTGTATGGACAAAACTGAGGGGAAATTAGAGAGGCTTGCTGTAGTCAGCAGCTTGAGATTAGGTAAAGTTTGTCAGGAAACAGGGCAAGCATTTCCTGACGCTGGTCTTAGTTATATGATGACCCGCAGCTGGAGCTTTAGGTCGTCTGACCGAGGCCTTCCACTGGCTTACCCTTCCACCCTTTTAAAAACTATGGTTGTAATTTTGACCACCATTGCCAACAGTCTGAAGGTGATCCCAGAACTCAGTCTACAGGAGAACAATCTTAATCAGGTCTGGTCACGGACCGGGCCGAGGGGATGCTGACCCTATGAGCACCCTCCTAGTATACTCCAGGCCGTCTAACCCTGTACAACTATATTTCTGCAACTGACAAACACCACAAAATCATGGTAGACGGGGGATATCTGCAACTTTATTGCTAACCTCCGACCCAAGTCTTTGGCATGACTTACTTCCACTAGCGGGCCCCGCCCACCTGTCATGATGTCTTCAACTTCTCTCTCTGTTCCCCCCCCCCCCCCATATACAAGTCTCCAATTCTATGCATCTGCTTAAGATTAATCAAGGCTAAGGGACTGAACACCCATCAGACTCAAGGACTAACACTTCTATTATTGTAACTACGATAGCTGCTTAGTGGGAACACTCACTACGTCCTTTGTACTCTGGTAAAGGCTTATCGTGGGAACAAAAGCTTAAGTTTCTCCCGTCATATGTCATCACAGAGAATGAATTTCGCTTATCAGCCTTAACTGGGACTTCAGTGGGACATAGTAAAGTCTCCCATTGGGAAGGACACGCGGGAAGCTGTGATAAACGAGAGAAGGGGATAAAGGAAATAAAAGGTGGGCAAGGTCATATAGGATGAGAAAAAGATTAAAACGAGGAAATTGCAACTAGGTAATTACCTATTCGTAATTAAGGAGGAAGACCAGAGAAAAAACACGCAATGGGGGTCTGAAGATACCTACTTCCATCATCCCCTTCTGACAATCTATCGTCCAGGGGCGTCACAGTTACCAGCTACGGTGTAGGATTCCCTTTCCCTTAGAAAAACGATATTAGCCCAAATAAAGGGTTTATTTTACTGACATCTAGTGTGGTTTAAAACTTATCTACTGCACAATTAGGTGGACTACGAGCGTCATTAGAGACCAAGTGACCATAACTAAAAACATCGAATCCCTAAGTAAAGATTGACGTAAATTGAGTGTATATACACAGGTATGTGCGTATACAATTGTACACTGACAAATATACAAGAAATTAACAAACATTTAGACAAATGTTAGTTGAACGACTGAGAAATAATCTTAGATGTCACTGTCCCATCATTTCCACACGTATACATTGACATACAGTATGTATAAACATACACCTGTGTATACAAATCATACACCTGTATACCATAATTGGAAAGAATGATAAGGGAAGATTAGAGTTTAATATAAAACTGTGTATTTACAATAACTGAAAAATTAGACGTGTGTACCACACTGGCTTCATCAGTCCAATACAAAAGACTGGTGAAGTTCAGGAGTGAGGTGATCAGTCCCTCAGTCTGGAGTATGTAATCAATCCATCAATTTTCAAGACTGGTTGATTGATTACATCGACTCCAGGCTGAGGGACTGATCACCTCACTCCTGAACTTCATTCTTCTTTGTATTGGACTGATGAAGGCGTATCCAATTGTTGTGATCCAAGTGTTGTACACGTAATTTATCAACTTCTCGGTTCTCGGAGCCATTTATCTACACTTTAGCAGTGTATTAAATGGCTCAGTCTTGTTTATGCAAAAGTCAAGTAACCCATACTGGTTTGCACTTCTACGAATACACTAGGGATACTCTTCCCAGTTTTTCTCATTACAGGTGTGCGAGAAGACAGGTGTGTGACAGATGTGGCAGTCTTACTAACGAGACTACACACTCTTCGTTATTACCACCTTTAATATACCTTGAAGAGTCTCGAGAGTTTCTCTACTCTGAGCCCGGCCATAGGCCAGGCTCGTCTGGTGCTTGCCTGGTCAACCAGGCTGTTGCTGCTTGGAGGCCCCGCTGTCCCACAACCTCAGTTTTGGCAACGAAATGGAAAACTTCCGCTCGTCCCAGCCACCATCACCATAATTCCCTGAAGTGACGTCTCGCCCCAAAATACCATAGAACCAGCCAGAGCCCAGGAAGGTAACTACCATTCTCTCAAATGTGAAATGGAAGCCAGTTAGAAGTTTTGCACTCTGACAGGATTGCTTCCTCTCGTGAACACACACCAACTTTACCTTTGATGAGTTTCGAGTGTGTGTCTACACTCTCGGAGCCCGGCCATAGGCCAGGCTCGTCTATTTTAATCACTTTTAATTAGAAATTCCCCTTTCTAACTAAATTTTATTTACAATCTATGGAGGGGGTGAGGGAGAGATATACCTGACGGGTTTATCACAGGAATATCATCCCAGAACCACTTAAATTTGACATTTATGGAGCAGTGACATAGGTCACTGCAGCTAAAAAAAAAATGCAGTGATAGACGAAGGTACAAAAAGAAACCGAAAGCAAATTGTGTTCACCTCTGTGGTAGAGCAACAGTGACATCTGTTGGTGTATCGTCAGGCAACAGTGACATCTGTTGGTGTATCGTCAGGCAACAGTGACATCTGTTGGTGTATCGTCAGGCACGTGGGATTTTGTTGGTGTATCGTCAGGCAACAGTGACATCTGTTGGTGTATCGTCAGGCAACAGTGACATCTGTTGGTGTATCGTCAGGCAACAGTGGCATCTGTTGGTGTATCGTCAGGCAACAGTGGCATCTGTTGGTGTATCGTCAGGCAACAGTGGCATCTGTTGGTGTATCGTCAGGCAACAGTGGCATCTGTTGGTGTATCGTCAGGCAACAGTGACATTGTTGGTGTATGTAGGCAACAGTGACCCTCTGTTGGTGTATCGTCAGGCAACAGTGGCATCTGTTGGTGTATCGTCAGGCAACAGTGACATCCGTTGGTGTATCGTCAGGCAACAGTGACATCCGTTGGTGTATCGTCAGGCAACAGTGACATCTGTTGGTGTATTGTAGCGTCAGGCAACAGTGACATCTGTTGGTGTATTGTAGCGTCAGGCAACAGTGACATCCGTTGTATTGTAACAGGCAACAGTGACATCCGTTGTATTGTATCAGGCAACAGTGACATCCGTTGTATTGTAACAGGCAACAGTGACATCCGTTGTATTGTATCAGGCAACAGCGGCATCTGTTGGTGTATTGTAGCGTCAGGCAACAGCGGCATCTGTTGTATTGTAGCGTCAGGCAACAGCGGCACCT